TTATATCACCAGAGAATGGAAGGAAGCTATCAGAAAAAAGAGAAAGTACGCGAAGCGTCATCAGAAGCTGCAAACTGAAGAAAGCGACCAGTTGCTGAAGCAGTGGCGCAATATTGCGACCAGCATTAGAAGAAAAGCCATGAAGCAATATTGGAAAGAGAGATCTGATGAACTTAGGACCAATCCACGAACCTTCTTCAAAACATTCACGCCATTTCTGAGAAATAAAGGTTTTGGTGAAGCAGCAATTCACTTAATGGAAGGAAATAATATCATCCAATACCAGTATGAAGTGACGGAGCTTTTTGCCAGTTATTTTGCTACGATAGCAGATAGTATAGGGATAGGTCTCAATACAACCCCTGACGCTGACCATCCTAGGGTGAAAAGAATCGAAAATATATGGTCTGACAATGTGTTTAGCTTCCGCCAAGTCCATCGCTCAGAAGTGTTAGGAGCCTTAGAAAAGTTAAACCCTCACAATTTACAGGTCACGACCTCGTATTACCAAAAGTCCTTCGTATGGTAGCAGACGAAGTTGCCTCTCCTCTCACTCATATATACAATGAGATAATATCGCGGGGTACGTGGCCGGAACAGCGGAAGTGGGGAGAATGGACGCCTGTATTTAAGAAGGGTGACGCGCTCAACAAATGCAACTATAGATCTGTTACTGTGTTGGTAACAGCGGATAAGGTGTGCGAACAGCTACTCTCAGGACAACTCGAACCTCTATCTAACAAAGTCTTTGACGGCTTGAATTCAGCATACCGTAAACGATATAGTCGGCGAAACTACGTTAGTACGTCTGGTCGAAGACTGGATGAGGTCTCTTGACAACAACCACACAGTTGGGGTATTATATACTGACATGAGCAAAGCTTTTGATTGCTTATCCCCTGACGTTGCTGCTTTCAAAGCTCCAAGCTTGTGGTCTATGTAGCAACTCCTTGGTTCTTCTAAAGTCCTATTTTACTAACAGGAAAAACAGGGTGCGACTAGGCGACACCTGTTGAGAATGGAAAGCAGCCAAACGCGGATGCCCCCAGGGGTCATCACTTGGCCCAGTGTCGTGGAATTTTTATCAAAATGATCTGTTTTATGAAAACATTCGATCTCAACTGAGTGCTTACGCTGACGACCACCAAATATATATTTCGGGTGAGAAGATTGACAGCGTCGTCACGGCAGTCTTGAGGAGGACCGGAATACAACTGATCGCTGGTATAAATCCAACTACCTCTCGGGTAATCCATCGAAAAAGTAAGCTAGTACTGGTTATGTCAAGAGCCAAGCAGGAAGTTAAGAAAGCGGTGCACATCGACGGCCATACAATTCGGCAGGCTCAAGAGGTTAAACTACTGGGGGTGATACTTGATCTAAACCTACAGTTCTCGGAACATATTAAACGAGGACACTGCCTATAAAAAGGGATAGCTCCTCCCCCTCTTTGTCACGCAACTGCTGCTTGCAAGACTTTAATCAATATGGCGGACTATGTGAGCAAGGAGAAGGGAAGGCAGTGATATTGTTGCCAGATATCTTGTGTGATATCTGCCCCTTATTCCCAGCCACATTCACTACATTTAGCCTAATAAAGTTAGGTAAACCCCTTTCTAACGTTATTTCTTTTCGAATGCAAGAAATTGGTGTATTTTCCGACCTTGAAAATTTGAATTTGGCGCCCACAACCGTTCCTCCAATCGCGCGAGTTCGACTCCCAACCTAGGCTCCTCGCGCTCGTCTTTTTCTTTCACTGAGCCTTCAGTCCTCTAAAATGAGGTTTTTCTAGTTTAGTCATGCTCAAAGGCTTATTTTGATCGTTTACTCATCACCTGAGAGCATATTTTCGATTCATGGCGGATGACGGTGCGGAAGGTACGGTATGTAACCATCGCTCGTCCTCCTCCTTGAATCGAAATACTTTGCTCGATTCGCAATTGCTTATACGTCGTGGCTTCTTTTGTAAGTTTTTCGTTTCGCCATGGCCGATTTTACAGCAAAAAAAGCCAAAGTAATGGATCATCGAGCGAGGATTAGGCACAGTATCCAACTGGAAGTCGGCAGGACTTTTCCGCGGGTGACGGGAAGCGGGTGACTGGTGACGGGTGGCGGGTGACGGGTTAAAAATATATATGAAATAAAATATTATAACTCTTTATAGTGTAATTGATATTGATATAACAGTATGTTGTAATTTTAAAATAATTTCAACGTTTATGTACTAGCTGCCAGGCTCCAAATAAGTAAAAACTTGCAAGAGGTGACAGGCCGCACATCTTCACCGGCGTGAAACCTTTGAAAACCTTTTACCTGTTGCTCCATTGAGGTGAACTCTTTCAGGGATGTTACAGCTTCTATATAGCGAGCCAAGGTACGGCTCGTTACAATTTATGTTCAGCAGGGGGAAATTGTGTAAGTTGAGCAGAACCTTTAAAATATACCACAGACAATTTATTCATTTCGCGCGTATTCCTGTTGAATTTGTAGCCCGTTTATGAGATTTGTCTACTCAAAAATATAATAATTTTTCCATAGCTGCTGTTATCTTAGGGTATGTGGTTTTAATATCTCAGAGAACAATGTTCAGCTGTACATAGCACGTAGTCTTAAAATATACCCAGATCTGACACTGGTTTTGTGTATTTATCACGTCTTTAGTAGAAGCATGATTTAAATACATTGTGATGCTGTGTCCTTTGAATGTCGTTTTGAAACTCAATCGCTTTGTAAATGTGACTAGTAGTTTTAATATAAGAGGAGAGTATTTTAAAGCTCGATATTTTTCAATGCCATTAGCATGTTGTTTTTTTACCAATCAATTGACGGGCTTCTTTGTGCCACTACATAATGTCTACACTTAAACATAAGTTTACAAGCAAGACCGGCGGTTTCGAATCTTACGATTCTCATCAGTTGCTTTGTGGTGGGATGGTTGAGGTGAACTCTGAACCATTCCGTATTGCTTGATTTGGTAAGCGTTTATATATTCACCCTGGTTTGTTTGGAGGATCGAAAATGGTGCGGTTTGATTGGTTCCTTGCAAAAGACCAATCAGGTTGCTGTAGGTTCGATCCGTGTTTTCTCAAAGCTAGGTTGTGTTTTTATAAAGGTTTAAATTTGAAAAATAGGTGTCTTGCCTTGCTTTTTTGAAAATTATAAAAACATCTTGTTAAAATGTTTATGATGTATAAGTGTTCCTCAAAATGGCGAGGGACAATGTTGTATATTTTCGTTTCAATTTAAAGCAAGGCTTGGGTTGACTATACAGTTGTGTACTGTACAGAATGTGATTTTTTACTGGCACAGCATGGCACCGTATGGCGTGAGTAACTGTAACGGATGACAAACCGGCGTGAAACCTTGAGTTAAGGGACTTGTCAGAAATTAGCAGGGGGGGTGGGAATTTTAAATTTTGGTTCGGAAATGAGGTGACCCATCCCTGCAATGGGAGTGAAATTTTCTAACCCTCCCCTTGACCTTAGCCTAAAATATCATGACCCTCCCCCTCTTGTATAAATGATAAAATCTAGTTCTTGCAATACACTAGGGTGAGTCAGTATTATGAAAGCTCAAAATATATTTCTAATCTGTTCTTTGAAATGCCATATACATACATTTTAGATGACATCATTAAGCTGAGTCCAACTCTGATTCTGACAGCTGATCACTCGACTCTCCTATTTCTCCCAGGTGTTTTTTACAAAATAAAGAACTTCTTTTTTCTTCTGTGGGTGAACCTCTACATGATCACGGACACATATTTGCATGACCCTCCCCCTTTTAACGGCCCATTTTTCTCCACCCCTCCCTTTTCTGCAGTCTCAAAAAGTTGTGACCCTTCCTCTGTTTCCACCCCCCCCCCCCCCCTGCTAATTTCTGACAAGTCCCTAACCCTTAATGTTTTGTCATTTGTAAGTTAGAGCTCTGAGTTGTTTTTATAAAACGGTTGAAATAATAGATTTTGGGACTTTGTCAAACCTTTTATTCAAATATAGAATTTTTCATGAAAACAAACAATTTCTTAGTTCGTTCGAAATGTGTTGTTTCATTTGTTTTCATTTAAAGGTTGACTTTTCTGTACAGTGGTGTACTGCCCGTGAACAGGTATGTTGTGATTTTTTGTTGTTTCACTGGTGGAGCAGGGCACTGTCTGGCGAGCATCGAGACGAAAGATGATTGCACTTCCCCAACTGTTTAGCCGTGTTTATAACAGACTGCAAGAGATTCGGCCTTCCGTGTCGTAGCTCAGTTTTTGCCCTAGCATGCGGCATGATTACCATCCCAATCAGTATTTTTAAGTAGTATTTAAAAAAAATGCAGATCCTTTTTGTATATATATACAACGAGATCAATTCGCGTCCGAGACGCCACATGCGGCGAAAACGGTCCATGCTGTGTCAAAAACGTTGTTGCTCCTTCTCTGGTACGCATTAACATTGACAGCTTTGTTGTTTTAGTCTCAGGAAAATTTCCTTGTTTTCTCGAAATAAACATTTTGTTCATTTTAAACTACAAGTCGGGAACCAGATTGGCAAAGATTTATTCCACGGGCAACGCAGTGTTGATCCCAACTTATAACCAAAAGAACAAACGCACTTGTCAAAAATCTGAGAAGAGAATGAATGAGAAGAGAATGCGATCTTACTTGCCTGGTCTCAGGATAAATAGTACTTTAATTTTTATGAGTTCCTCAAGCTATCTCGTGCATGCGATATCGTATAGAAGAATATTGCTAAAATATCGCGTTTTGTAATGTTCATTTTCTTTTCTTTTTTTTTTGGTTTCCACTTTTTTTATTTTTTATTATTCACCCGTCACCCGCTCCCCGCCACCCGTCACCCGCTACCCGCCACCCGTCACCCGTCACCCGTCACCCGCAACCCGCGGAAAAGTCCTGCCGACTGGAAGTGGAGGCTGAAAGTGAAGGTCGTTTGCAACGCGTCAAATCTCAACTCCAGCACGTCAGAAGTGTCCTTCATACAAACAGCCGGACTCCAATGGGCGATCTCTTAATGATGGAGAAATTACTACAGGCTTTTCTCGAGTCTGAGCAAAGAGGCATGGCCAGTCAGAACCCTTTATTTTGCCGAGTCAGATCCCATGCGACAAGTCCAACAACACAACAAAAACTTGCGACGCTGGGATTCAAACAAATATCCTTCCTCCTTATGTGTTGGCTAGTGGGGAAAATACTACTGGCTGTTTTGACATTCACACACCTAGTAAACCGGTGGAAGACTACTTTATTGCTTCTCATGACGCCTTACAGCATCTTGTGGCCACTCTGGCTCGTTACGACGGGAATTGTCCACTATGTGGCTTTACTTTAGATATGCAATTATTTACCGTCAAACAGCACGGACATGCGGCACGAATAAGCATCTCCTGCGTCGCTGGTCTTCGTGTTCGATGGTATTCGAGCAGCACTGTTGCTGGAAAATTTACAGCTAATCTAAGGTCCTGTAGTTATATTTTGTTCCCTTTTTTGCATTTCATGTTATTTTAGAATATTGCAAATACTCACTCGAGTTTTCCTTGCTTATTTAGAATGGTTCATGGTTTTACTTGTTCTGGTCTAACAGAAACCCAGTACATAAATTCCTGTAAGCTAAGGCGTCTCGCATTGGCTATGTGGAACAGAAATATATATCCACTGGTAATATAATTCCTGGTTGTTCAGTCTAAAGACAATTTGCTGCATTAGTTTGAGTTGATATTATAAACAACCTGCGTAGCCAAATGTCATTTGTAGTTATTTCGAAAGTAAAAAAAAAAAAAAGAAGAAGAAAAGTAAAACTACCTGATAGAGAGAAAAATAACTACAACAAATGTGAAATCTTTTCTTATATTGTTTTGATTGTGCCTTATGTCGTACCAGTATTTTCTATTTCTTTCTAATAGATTTTATTTCTCTTTTTTGTGCCTCCAGCTTCTTTCGAGTTTGTATTGACTGGAAAGCAAATTGAAACATTTTATCACAATTATACTAACCTTTTTTTATTATTTGATTTGTCATAGTACATTCTTCATTGGGGTACAAGAATGCAGTAAAAACTGTTTATGAGAGACAGTTGCTGGAAGCGCGAACAGAGGCACAGCAAGATCCTCAGTATTTACTACGTGGTGATGTTAGTAGTTTTGTAGTAATAATATACCAGTTCATTCAATGCACATTGTCCTCTTGTAGATTTCAGAAGATTCTCTGTCTGCTCAATAAGGTGTATTTATATAACTACTTTAGGTCATCATCACTGATGCGAGGCATGATTCTTGTCGTGCAGCTCAGCACACAGCTGATTCAGCATTATCTAACAGGTAAACTAATTTAATCTGGTGTGAGAGTGGACATGCATTGTTATTTTAGGTAACTGTAGTCCATCGACACACAGTTGTTAGTGTTGGTAGATAATGATATTTCCTGGTTTCTTCCTGTGTCTGAAATATTGTAGTAACAAAAAGGTTATATACAGTTTAAGCTGGTCTAAAGAGGACTTGAGTGCGGCCGCATCATGAGAAGTACCCATGACCAAACAAGTTGTGGATTCCTTAGTTAATCTGGGTGAGCTACCTTAAAATTTATTGTTTTTTTTCTTTATTTGTGTGGATACCATATTTACTTTAAATGAGCTTGCTAGCTTCCACTTCTTTCTTTTGGACAGGACATCAAGTTGGTGAACTGGCACATGACTATGTACCAGCCTTGAAACAGTGGGCCAGTTCAAAGGGAATAAAAAACTCATATGATAGCTGGCATGGTATGTACTATTACATGGCAGTCCTTGATGGTGCGAAAGCATATAGGCAACTAATTCTAGATCCAAGTTTCCATTATCTTTCTCATTTTCTTTGTGAAGGTGGGAAAGGTGTGAAGAAAGCTATCAAAAAGATGGCTAGTGGCCTTGTTCGAGATGCTGAGAAGACTTGGTTTGCTAAATTATCGGATAAAGGTAATACTGCATTATGTCGATTGCCTGATGATTCCCTAGTTCCTTGAGTTTTCATTGAAAAATAGAATAGTGAGAAGTATGTAACTATTGTGTATTTTTATCACCTTGTGAAATAATGTGCTTTCAGTGAAATGTACAAAGACACACATTCATTATGCTATGAAAAATTGCAATGAAGATGCCACCAGATCAAGAAACTGCATTACCAACATTGTGGATCATTACAAGGTATCTTACTACAATAATAGAGTTTACTTTGCTGTTGAAAATGGTTGATTTCACAAATATATTACCTGTTGCTTATACTCTATATTAAACTTCTGCAGGGAAATCATAACAATTGCCATAGAGACTCTCGCTGTCAAGAAGATGGTTATGTTTGCAGCAAGAAACCTCTTGTCAGTGAAAGAGCTATTGTTGCATACCGGAAAGCCATCGAGGGCACAACAATCTACAAAAATGCAGAGGATTATGCCTTGGTAATTCTTATGAACAGTTATGGAGCACCATTCTATCTAATGATCCTTTTGCCTATATTGAGCAATGACTGATGCATGCACTAATCACTATTTCTTTACAGCAGTGGCCATATGAATCCCTGATGGCACTAACAGTACCATTACACAGGGTTTGTGGTAAGACTAGTACAGTGACTGGAAAGGGCAGGGGTTGATTATAACTATATAAAGTACATTTCAAGTCTTTTTTTTTTCAGTGTCGTGATACATACTGGATCGAGTCACTACACTTAGTGATGTTAATCTATGCTCCAAAGTGTATTCATTTCAGTCGAGCAGATACCTATGAAATGCGAATACAGTTGGCCATTCGTGACTGGATAATGAAATAAAGTATTCATTGTACTATCTTCTTTGACGAAGTTTACACAGTTCTGTATGTGTAATGAGATCTTTTACAATGAATATACCCCATGTGTTTTTCACACGAATGAAAATTCAATCTCTAGGAGATATTCACAGTGTTGATGAGCTGCAGAGGTAGTTTCAGATCATTATAGTGCTTATATTGAGTCTATCTATTTGAACAGAATGAAAATGTCATGCGAGAGGCCTCATCTATGCAATACTACCACAAAAGCCGCCAGCCTGACAGGATTGCTCCACACAGGGTTCTCACAGAAAAGACGTTCCATTTCAAAGAGGAGATTTGGGCAACCTTTTTCGCTTCTTTATAGATGACACCTTTTTTTTTTTCTTTCCAGCATTATATATAGTTTCTCGAAAAAGCAAATTGCATAAAATAACGTGCTGGATCATCACATCATCGTAACTGAATGTATGTAAATAGCTTTTATCTGTAAATAGTTTTTCGCCGAGGTGTTGTTGAAATTTGCCTGTGATGCATTTTACGTAGGACCCATATGGACTGGACAGAGCCCTCTCTTTTATCAATAATACCTATTAGTTGTGGGAGTAGGATTCACCAGTTTGAGCCTCATCCGTGACACAGCATGTATAAACTCATATTGAGCAGCAAATAAGCTAAGGTTAAAGGAATGTATTTTGTGAAAAAAAAGAACAAAGGAAAACAACAACAACAACATAACAAGAAAGACCGAAAAAAAAATTTCGATTACGCAATCCCTCACCTCCTAGACTCTCAACCTCTCATCCATAGAGGAGGAAGATGAATAACAATCGTCACGCTAAGAAAGGAACGCGAGGGAAGATAATTTTGTATTGTTGGAGTATATATAACTTTATTTGATTTACCACAAAATACAAATAACGATAAAACAAGACAGTTACACAAAAGCAAATGAAAGTGGCGAGGAAGCCCAAAAAGAAACCATGAGGCTTATAGACATTGGGCTCCCTCAGAGTAAAAATAAAGTTGACAGGAGCAGTAAGGCCAGGATCGAAAGTAAAATACAATGAAGGTAAGTATAAATTAACTAATTACATCGACTGACTTGACAAAATATAAAGTATGGTACATGTAACAATAAGTATAAAAATAATATCAGACATGTGAAGAAAGATAACTATTTACTACAAGATTCATAACTAATAATTCATACATATTTTTTTCTTCAATTTCGTTTTGAATAAGTGGAGAGAATTAGATTCTTTAATATCGTTTTCTATAGAGTTATAATAAGTAGCTCCTTGGAAACTGACAGAAAATTTACGAAGATTTGTTCTACAAAAAGGAAGGTGAAAATCGTTCGCATATCTAGTGGCATAGCTATGGACTTGTTTGTTTAAAGAAAAATAATTGTTGAACTTTGAAGGCAAAAGAGAATGGTTAAGAGAAAACATAAGTTTACCCAATTCTAGTTGTCTAATATCGGTAAGTTTTAGTAGCTCTAATTCTTTGAAAATAGGGTCTGAATGAGAATCGAAAGTTGATTTAGAAATAATTCTGATAACTCGCTTTTGCAAAGAGACAAGACGGCGAAGACTGGTTTTGTACGTAGATCCCCAGACAATAATACAATAATGAAGATAAGGATAAACTAAACAATAATAAAGAGTTTTTAGACAGGGTTTAGATAGAAAAAATGTTGAACTATTAATGACTCCAATAGATTTCGAGATTTTAAGAGCTGCTTGAGAAATGTGCGGTTTCCAAGACAGATGTTCATCAAGGACTACACCGAGGAAGGCCGTTTCCTCAACCTGTTCGATTCTTTGTTCATTTATGCATGTTTGCATTGGAAAATGATACCTTTTCTGTCTAGGCTTAAATAACAAAGTTGTTTTCTTCAGGTTTAAGGAGAGTTTGTTTGCCTTAAACCAAGTGGATAATTTATTGAGTTCGGAATTGAGTGAGGCTGCCAGGTAGACAGGATCTTTATGGGACATAAATAAATTAGTATCATCAGCAAATAAAATCAGCTCGACGAGCGTCGATACGTCATTTAAATCATTAATATAGAGCAAGAAAAACAAGGGGCCCAAAATGGCTCCCTGGGGGACACCACAGCAGATAGTTTGAGGAGAGGAGCATTGACCGTTGAAGTGAACGAATTGCAACTTGTTGGAGAGGTAGCTTCTAACCCAGTCCAGAGCCACGCCACGTATACCATAGTGTTCGAGTTTGTCAAGCAGAATATTATGATCGACGGTATCAAAGGCCTTAGAAAGGTCAAGGAAAACGCCAACGGCATGTTCATTGCGATCAAGAGCAAGGGAGATTTTTTCATATAGGTCAATCAATGCTAACGAAGTTGAATGATTTTTCCTGAAGCCAAATTGATTATTACATAGAATTTCTAGTTTACTTAAAAAATTATAAAGACGGTTATAAACAACCTTTTCAAGAAACTTAGAAAAGCTAGGGAGAATCGAGATCGGTCTATAGTTCGTAAAGAGTGATCGATCACCGGCTTTAAAGAGTGTTGCAGTTGTGAAGCAAATGACAAAAGTATTATAAGTTGGGAGTCTTCCATGGGAGTAAAATATTGTCATTTGACTGAAAAATGTAATAATTCAGACGAATCAGTCAGTTTTTTTTAAAACCCAAATTCATGTTTACGGAAATAAATTTTTGATCAAATGGGCAACAAAAGACGCAATTCAAGATGAGGAAAAGAATATGGAATAAAATAACCACTCGCTAGCTATTTCAAAAGCAAGGCTGCCGAAGTTTGTTGTGCTTGTTACAAAGATTTTAGGTGAAGATGGGGAGGTGGTCCTTGTCGTAACACAATGGAAAAAATTGGGAGATTGAGATAATTATTCCAAGAATATAATGACTGTGCTTTATTTGAGACGTGGAGATATAACAAACAAACAATAACAGAGTTGATAAGTACAGATCTGTAAGGGGCATGATAGCTGTGGTATACCAGAAATATCTGATATATATTTATTTTAGCTATTATGAACGACGATGGCCTTGGTAAAGGACGTTGGGTGGATTTGGCCACCGTTCACGAATGTCCTTCACTCTCTTAACTCTCTGACAAGACCTAGTTACAGCTCCTTTTATCCTGACTGAATCTGAAGGCTGCCAATCTTACTCAAACTTACAATAATCTTACATCAGTAAAAATTCGATTGGCTATAAGAATTATTAACATATTTTTCTTCGAGGTTGTGTCGTAATAGGAAAATCAGTTAAAACTCCAAAATTCACTTTTGTCCAACAATTGTCCAGTCAAAACAAAACAGTCAGAGACACAAAAATTACAAGGAATGTTTACATGAATGAAAATCACATATGTATAATATCGTTACTCTAAAATGTACAATTTGTCAATTCGCGTACAGTGCTTAAGTTGTCGTTTAAAAGCTTCTTGTTGGAATATCATACAATGGTAATTAGTCCCGCCTTTTTCCATATATTAACTAAAAGATTGTTTACAAATCCCTAGTCAAAAATCAATCAGCAAGATATTTACATTGCAAAAGCCTTTAAACAAAGATATCATTCGTTACAACTTTTAGCAAGTAAATTGAACTAGGCAGTAACAAAAGCTTCTTTATCACAACGAGTTAACTAAGATAGTCTGTTGGACAAGGTTTTCTTTTGGAAGCGCACTAAAGTTTCGATCAAACCACTAAATATGCGAAAGATAGTAAAAATAGGAATGTCCAGGAAAAGACGACTTGGCAAGGTCAAGCTTCTGAAGATTTAGGAAAAATCAATTAAGCCAATTAATGTAAGATAACAAACAAATGTCGTTAAATTTACCAGAACTAATTAGATTAAGAACCTCTGTGTGGGTTCAGTTTAAACAAAAAGAATCATTTCTTAATTGAATAGCGGCACGTGTGCAAAGAGAAACCGACGTCGAAAAGAGAATCTTTACAGAGAAAGGCCAAACCTTATTAACGAAAAACAAATAGCTTTTGTAAGCCCAGTACGTTCTAGTAGAACGTTTTTATATAACAATTCAAAACACTCTACTCAGTGATAATAATAATTAAAACTAGACATTATGGCAGACATAATGTCATTTATGGCAAGGCATGATACTCACATGATAACTCGCTAGGTCAGGCTGTACCAGGTACTGCAAATCTAGCCAATTAGGTTATAGGGCGGTGTCAGGGTTAAGTAGGTATATCGAGGTATTTTCCCAGTAATTCTTCCTTCTCTCCCTCGTCGTCAACTCGGTCAGATCTCGAGCAAAATCTTTCCCTCCTCCTCCTCCTGCCTGCGGGTTATTATTGTTCACGGTATTTCCTATTTCTTCTTTTTTTCCTTTTCTTAAATATTTTGTTTTGTAGTTTGTGGCGGATTTTTGTCGCCCCATTTTTTATTCAGTAGATTAATCGGTTTACATATATAGATGTGTTCTGATTCTGTTAGCTTTGATTTCATTAAACCTGCCACAACCGTGGCCAGATTTATCCAACACAGTTGTTTGTTTATATTTTAATTCCGTTCCTGTCGGAAAGTACGTGACCGGAAATGCAAGCGGAGCTCGCGCAGAGTT